GAACCTAGTTTAAAGCCCTCCTCACTAGGTTTGCAAGCCTGCCCACGAAGATGCTCCTTCCTCTCTTCGTTGGGTGGATCCCATCTCTTCCTAACAATCCTTGCACCCGGAACAGAGTCCCATGGTCGAAGAAACCAAAACCCTCTCTGTGACACCATCTGCGCAACCACGCATTTACGTCCTCAATACGACGATCCCTGCCCAGTCCTTTCCCTTCAACAGGGAGGATGGAGGAGAATACCACTTGTGCACCAAATTCTTGGATCCTTCTTCCTAGCGCTACATAATCCGCAGTAACACGCTCAAGATCATTCTTGTCTGTATCATTAGTTCCCACGTGGAGAAGCAGGAAGGGGTAGCAATCTGAAGGTTTGATCAGCTTGGTAAGCCTCTCAGTGACATCCCGAATGCGAGCTCCCGGTAAGCAGCACACCTCTCGAGATTCCAGGTCCCCTGAGCAGAGGGATGGCTCAGTCCCTCTTACTGGGGAAACTGAAATAAAATATTCAATTCATGATTTGTATGAAACTGCAGTTAGAATGTACGATTCTGCAATAGTAACTGTGTGGAGTGAGGTCAAATTGCACGTGAGGAATGAACACAAGTGAAGTCTTTCTTTTTTGCATCTGCACAAGGAAAATAGCGCGAGTCTAGACACAGATCTTTCGGAAAAGGCTTTATTTTCTAAAAGATCCGCGTCTAGACTGGCGCTTTCTTCTGGCAAAACTCCGAGCCAGAAAAAAGCGGCAGGCATTTTTTTGCTTATGAAGCGCTGGCGCTTTCTTCTGGCAAAACTCCGAGCCAGAAAAAAGCGGCAGCCATTTTTATGCTAATGAAGCGGGGAGGGGGGGATTTAAATGCTCGCTTCATTTTCAATTGCAATATGTCTAATTTGCATCCCTTTTCCGTAAAAGGGGATGCAGTCTAGACACAGCCAGACTGTTTCAGCAGAAATCAGAAGTCAGAATATCACCTTGTGAGTTCCCTTGGGATGTTTGGATCTTCCATTGAATCTTATCTAAACAAGATAACACAATTGCTACAGATCTTTACCCTGTCCATTCTTCTTTGGACATCAATCACTCTGGGGGAAAAAGTAGATATTCCAAAATACAGGCCTATCATTCAAGAAAAAACATACAACAGTACTTACCACGGACACAATTTGGGGGCCTACATTAGTAAACTGGTTATGGGGTTATTACTTTCAGGTGAGGTAAAAAAAAAAAAAGTAACGTGAGTAGAGTTGAGACAATTTTGATTAGGTTTATGATGGTGTGTCTACACTACGTGTTAAGGTTGAATTAAGATACACAACTTCAGTTATGTTAATGGCGTAGCTGAAGTCCAAGTACCTTAACTCCAGTTTTGGTGCTGTCTGCACTTCAGGAAGTCAAAGGAAGCACTTTCTCCCTTCGACTTCCGTTACTCCTTGTGGAAGCAGGACTGCCAGCATCAACTGGAGAGCCCCTCTCAGTTCAAATTAGCATGTCTTCACTTGACCTGTAATTTGAACAGTGGCAGCTTCGATTTTCTCTGTAGTGTAGTCATACCCTATGAGTTTTAGGAAAATACACCAGGAATGATAGATACTACCACTGTAATGACATGCATTGTTTCCCAAGGAAGAAAGAAATCCATTTGGCCTTTGTCTAAAAGGGAGTCCACAGTCCATCATGGGGAGAGACATTTTATTTTAAACCATTCATGTGAAAAAGAAAGGTGAGATCAGCACAGCCTGGCTGTGATACAAGAATTAGAACAAGTGGAATGAAGTCTCAGCCAAAGACATGTTACCATGATGATTCGTCAGAGTCATATCACTGATTCTTCTTAGAGTGACTTCTGTGTGGTCCCAGATGTGGGATACAACAGCCACGTTTAGTTCAGAAAGCAGTATGTAACTAGCATTGCCAATTGGATTTCACTCACATTCTTCTGTGCTTGTGCCTTATCTGTTCTTGAGCATTCTAGGACAGGGGTGGCCAACCCGCGGCTCTTCAAAGAAAAAAATTGCGGCTCCCGCACTCATGGCTCTGAAAGGGGCAGCGTGTTTCTTTCTGAAAGAGAGAGAGATGGAGTCGCAGCATCCCGTGCAGACTTCAAAATGGCCACCTTAAAAGGGGCAATGCCTGCTCTGCTCAAAAGGGTTGCAGCTGGGGCCCCTTTTCTCTCCCCCCCCCCCCCCCCGCTCTTTGAGCTTTATTCACCGCTATTTTGGCTCTTCAGCTGTAACGGGTTGGCCACCCCTGTTCTAGGGCATGGCTGTAAAAGGAGGCATAGCACTCCAATGACATCTACTCCATCCATATGCCAGAAATGACAGACCAGAAACTGGTCTGGAAAAAATGATCCCAAAGCTCTTAAAACAGCGCTCTAGTTTTTATTAAGCTCTTTGAGCTTTATTCACCGCTATTTTGGCTCTTCAGCTGTAACGGGTTGGCCACCCCTGTTCTAGGGCATGGCTGTAAAAGGAGGCATAGCACTCCAATGACATCTACTCCATCCATATGCCAGAAATGACAGACCAGAAACTGGTCTGGAAAAAATGATCCCAAAGCTCTTAAAACAGCGCTCTAGTTTTTATTAAAGGTCAGATTTTTGGTCCTCTCAAACTGACCCTGCAATTTCCTAGATCCTATCACACACTATCTAAGTGAAAAAGGGTTATTTGAATAAAACTGTACTCATAAGAAGGCTGTGATTCTCCAGCCTGATACCGGTTAAGTCCTTGTATTCTGCTCCCAGCCCACATTTTGTTTTCTCTAGGGATGTTAGATATCATATATTTTAGTAATTGTGTAGCCACAACAATGTTTAATTAGTCCTAATTTAGTTTGTCCTCACTTTTCCTGGAATGTGGTACTCAGAATTGGATACGGTATACTCCAGTTGAGGCTACCAACTCCCAGCAGTACTTTAAAAAAAACAAAAACAAAAAACGGTGAATGTGAGTTGCTGAAGTCTTGCACCTTTTGTGGACTTTCTTATAAGGATGCAGAAAAGTCAAGAAACAGATATTAAGGATGCATATTTTGGTGGTACTTTGACAGTACTATGGCAGGGCATTTATTTTCAACATCAGTGCTTTCAACATAGCAGTGTTTATCAGATTTTCATATGGAGATTCGACAAATGTGGGCTACTATGATGTGCCAAATAGCTATGGGGAAGTGAGAAATCTGATACTTCTGATGTGTGCAAACCATAGTAACAGACATTTTGTATTATGAGAGAATTGTTTTTAGGAAGTCTTACACAACAAAGGTGGAATCTCTCTGGTCTGGCAATGTCTTTGGTCCAGCATGGTTTTAGTTAGCTGGATGTCCACTTATCATGGGTGTGGCCAAGTTTCCCACAGTCCTGTAAAGTTTGTTTACAGCCACCTGTCCTGGCTCTCAGTGTTCTTTGCTGTTGCTTAGCTGTAATTTACCCCAAATGTCTTTTAAGAGCCTAGTAAGAAGTGGAAATGTTGGTAGTGCTGCTAGTTAATGTAGATCTCCCATGGTCCAGCCAATTCTCTGGTTTGGCACCAATTAGGTCCCGCGGGTGCCAGACTAGAGAGGTTCAACATGTACTTTCTTTCTCTTACATCTGAATTGTAGGTTTCAAGTTTTTCAATTACAATTAAGAATTTCAAGGTTTCAGCTTGCTACATTTCTTTTTAGGTAAGCTCATGAAAGAAGAGGAAAGAGGCTTGGGGTCTTCAGTATGGGCAAGACAGCTAAATGCAACTTCCAGGGTTACTCCTCAGGTACGACAATATGTTTAACCCTTGTTATAGAACAAGGAGTATGCAGCTGTCAACAGAAAACAAAAATCATAAACCTGATGAAGGTATCTCCTTCCTGCATGTCTGGTAATTGATAACTTTGGAGTTGATGTCTATCTGTATCATGTTTTATCTGAGCTGTTCTGCATTTCTGGATGTTTTACTAAACCTAAGTAGATTATAAAATTACTATAAAGATACTGAGTATCTTTGAAAAGATGTGAATTTTCTGTTCGTGATAGATTCTAGATTGATGATCCATGGGGCGGCCTGTGAGCCTAGGCAAACTAGGCAGTTGCTTAGGGCGCTGCCGGCCCAGGCGCCCAATGATGACATGCCGGGGTGCCCCGTGATTGTCACGGCCGTGCAGGCGGGGGTGCCGATTGTGCCTTTCGCCTGGGGCGCCAGCTGCCGCAGCTGGCCTCGGGCCGCTCCTGATGTTCCATATCCATGGAATCTTACTTCAGAGAGAGTAAGTTCTAGCTTTCCCATATTGCTCAGTCAAACTTTATTTGGAAACTTCACCTCTTTCTTCACTCTTCTTGTCTGTCATCTCTAGTCATACTGCCAACAAGGTTGTCAATTATACAGAGGTTTTTGAGATGTGGACAGTTCCCCATTAGAAATTGAATTAAGGCACCTCAACTCATTTCACATTGGCTGCATTCAGTAGTTTGCATTTTTAATCTGGGCTGTATTCAAGGCAGAGGCCTAAAGATTGAAAGACTCTAAATCCTATTGATAATTCTCCGAGCCTTTCAATGTTTACTGATTCTTAAATGCTGACCATCTTATCCCTTTGTTATATTCACTGGAAATATTACTAATACTTTAAGTTAAAGAATACTGCTACTACTTACTAACGATAACATAATTGCATGGTAATTTACTATTCTACAGGAACATGTAATTACATGGTATAGCTTATGGTTTTATAGTTTCTAATTTAGAATTGGTTGGGTTTCAGCTACAGAATATTCAAGACAAATTGCCACTTTAAAAATTCACTGGTTGTGATATTCATTATAGCTAGGGTTTGTCTGTGATATCAAGGATGTTATGGTAACACTTTAGTTATTTTGTGGTGGCTAAAGCGGAAAAAGTTGGTTATATATTTTTGTTTATTTCCCTGTATCTGTATTGGCAACAGTTAAACACTCTTCTACTGTCTTCAATAACTGTGTATGAAAAAAGTTGTGCAGAAATATCATATTGTTATACCTTAAGTTTTTGAACAGGCATATATAGTATGGAAATGAACAGAATGTTAAAACAGATAAGATTTATTCCTGTTAGAAGTGTATTTTCTTGCAGAAATATCAAATTTGTCCAGTAGTACAATAAGAAGAATTAAAAAAGCATTTCCATTCAGAAATTATAAGTCCTCATATGTGACTTTTTCCCCCCTTTCTGCTCCAGGATACAAATAAATCTCAGAAATATATTAAGAAGATGTGTGCATCAGAAGCTAGTCATAAGGTTCAGGAGAATAGAAATTTTACACACAGCAATGGCTTGAGCTTCCAACATGGCAAGTACACGCGGGACTCCACCTTGATCCAAGGGGAGTGTCGGTTGAGTGATGGCAGTCTCAGCCCTGACAGGCCATACGGTGAGACGTCCTTATCTGTACCCCTTCACCCAACCAAGAGGCCAGCATCAAATCCACCCCCTATCAGCAACCAGGCCACAAAAGGTAACATTTTCTTTGTCCTCTTGTCACCTGGCTCCCTCTTTTTCTTTATAAACTTGTTTGAAGCAGAAATGGCAGAAAGTGCAGACATAGACTTTGAGAAAAAAATTTAACATAAGCAAGCATCATCTTGTCAGATTTTGTCATGGAATAGTTATATAGTGAAAAGGGAAGGCTTTAATGGAGTTATGCCCAATTTGAGCTTCCCCTACTTAATGTCGAGAGCCTCTAAAAATTTAGCAGCAGTGAAATAATATCTAGTTTAAGTATCTCATTTTTTTCTTCCTTTTTCGGAGTAGAAATACTCAAAGTATGAGGCTTTAAAAAGTAACGTCTTCCTAATTATCTCTTTAGTTGTGTTATTTTCTTGAGTACAAATCTGAGGAAAGTGCACAATTCAGAGGTTTTCCCATTTAAACTAGGAAAATCTGGAAGTATATAATCAAATTCTTTATTATAGTGCTTATTGTAATGTAGGAAAAGTAACTTTTGATTTCATGTATGTCCAAGAATCTTCTTTCCATTTAGGGTTCTCTATTTTTAGAACAGATTTGGTAAAAATCAAACTGAGATATTGGTTTCAATTTTCCAGGCAAGCGTCCAAAGAAAGGAATGGCAACTGCCAAACAGCGCCTTGGGAAGATCCTTAAGCTGAACCGAAATGGCCATGCACGCTTCTTTGTTTGATGTAGCTGCTACTACTACTACTGCTGTCTTTTCTTCACAGCCAGTATTGAGGACAGCAGAGCCTGGAGCTGCTGCTGTTCCTATGCCTGAAGCAGACTTGCATGTACCTTGTAGAACACTGCCTAATGAACAAAAAAACCAATGCTGCATTTTCACTGTGCCACACCTGCTCAGCAATAACCATTTGGGAATGGGGAAATCTTCAGAGAGACAATGGACTAGGAAACAGTCTCTCATCAGGGCTTGAATATCACTTTGTTGCTGGTAGTGTCTGAGCTAATTCATGAGGGGAAGGTGATAAAGGTGGTATCCATAATTTATTTCTGACAGATTTTTACAACTTTTAAATTCCTTTTAATTATTTATTTGGAAATTTTTTTTGTGGGGTTTGTTAATTTAGATTAAAGAATGTGAAGGTTTTTAATTGTTCTTGATAATGTATGTTTGGTGCAGTGGAGAGCCACGTTAATGGTGATTAGTCTGGACTCCTAAATTTGATATTCAGGTTATAGTCTTAAACAGGGATGTGATGCATTATTAATTTTAAATGAAGTCATATGGAATCATATTATATTTTTTCTGCTCTTTATAAGCTATTGGTTAGACTTCTGTTGACTTGTAAGGTACATGGTCTCTGCCAGTTTAGTTCCCTTAGCCTCTCCCCATTATGCACACATTACTGATTCATCCAAAATGAAGAAGCAAAGACTTTTCTGGCTACAAGGAGAGTATGATTATTCAAATTCAATAGCTAATATATCTTCCTTCCCTAAAATTGGGGTTTCTGCTCTTCTTCCTGATGTGGTTGGTGTTCGGTCCAGGCCTTAGAAAATAAAATGGTTGAGATTTTTTGTTTACACAATTTAGTATAAATGTTAGTACATAGGAAAGCAGCTTTTATTTTTTTCCCTCAAGTATGGGAGAGAGTGCAATATAATGGGCTAAGTTTCATATTTTAGAATAATTTTGTTGATTGAAGAAACAGTTCTTAAAATATCAATTGCAGAATTAAGATTTAGCTGATTACTTCCTGTGGTGGGTTGAGGGAACATAAAAATCAGTGATAGTCATTAGTATACTTCAGAAATATTTTCTACTGAGGAACTAAGGAGGCAGTTAACATGTGCTGCTTGCAAGGCTGCAGTTGACAGCCAATGAGAGTCTTAACTGGTGCATATGTAAGTGTTGAGTTTAGTAGCTAGCTGATCTCAGAATGATCATTTGTGCCATGCTTTACATAGAGCTGATAGTAAATGCCAATTCTGAATTACCTGTAAATAATGTTGATTTTAAATTTGTATTTTTCTGTAATATAAAATTAAATATTTAAACTTTTCAGGGTGGGGTGAGAGGGGAACCACTTTACTTGATTCTGTAAAAAGGGCATTTTGCAGGGTCCAGCCAAAAGTAAAACATTGCTGTACTAGAGTTACCATCTTGGATTTTTCCTGTATAGTGAGAGTGAAATGGTTTGACTCAGCTATCGAATTTCTTGATTTGTCTTCACTCCACTCAGTTTGCCTGTCCTCCATATTCTGTCCTAGATAGCTTCTCCCTGCTGCGCTTAAACAAATTCAGTTTTAGTTTCCAGATTTACATGTAGATATATATCCTTGTATACAGTAGATTAGAGTATGAATAGTGCCCTTGGGAATGTATGGATATGTATGCTGTCAGGATTTCATGAGTATTACAAGTTCAGTACTAGCTAGTTGAGGATCAAAATGCACTCTGGTTATGTATAGGGCAAATAGAATTTGTCTCTTTTCTTTTTCCAGAACTTGCAAATTATTGTTTTTCTTTATCCCAGCTCAGCTTTTGGATTTGATTTGAAAGTAGTGTATGCATCAAAGTTAGTTTATTATTCTAATCCACAGCCAAAAACACATGAATTCATACTCTGGCAGGCCATTTTTATTAGTACATGCCACCAGCTTTGTTTAGAATGCTGGGGAAAGAAAACAATAAAAATGATGCTAACTACCAACTACCAAGAAGACAAGGAGAAGTGACTATACAGGTTCCAAAAGTGACAATGAATATAGTTGTTCTCGGACAACAAATTTTCCCATTAATAATGATGAGAGGAAAAAGTACTTTCAACATAGAATTAAAATTTCACATTGCATCTTCTGATACATTTTCATGGATATATTTGATAAATGTGTACCATGTTATCAATACTAGTTTAAATGATAAGAAAAGTCTTTTCAGGGAAAACCAGGTCGTATTTGCCAGGTTTTGATTGACTGGCTCAGTTCTGGCAAACCAAACCAAACTGCTGTTCCAGTACTGGCTATCTATTTATTCAGAGAAGTATTTCCTAAGGGACATCAAGCAGAATTGGAGGGGAGTAAAGACTGAATTGTAAAAATTCAGTAGATTTTGAGAAAGGTATTTAATGAAACAAAAATATGCCCTAATGAAATCTGGAATAAGGAGACTTGGAGTATGGAACATATACAATGATGCTGTCCCTGTGACTTGTCTGCAACAGGTCTCTCTTCTAAGCCTCTTCATTAGCAAAGTATATATAGCTTCATCTTATTAGTGGAAAAAGTACTTGGCTGGACCCATATATGTCAAATGGTTATTTTCCAAGGTTTTTTTTTTCCCTTCTCTCCCAATTTCTCAAGGTGGCTCTCCATTGTAGTGAGTGTATTAATATCTCTTCATAGGCTGTCAACAGGCAGAGGTTCATTTCCATTTTCTCCTGATTTCTATGCTTCCAGCAGAAGTCTCTAAGAGACTAAAACATTTTGGGGTGAGAGGGAACCTCAGTCAATTATTTTAAAAGAAATTGTCTTAATTGATAACCAATGAGTCTCCTTTTGGTAGCTTGATGAAGATGATGTGTTGACCTCACGATGTATTTGTATGTTGGGATGTTTATTATATTCTTGGAAGAAAGCACTGTTGCACCAAGTTTTTTGTAGATGGGCTGAACCTGGTGCTGTAGAGGGGGAGAGAAAAACACTGTTCTTCCCCTCCCCCTCACATTACAGTTTTTGGGGGTATTGGAAGCTGAATAGATAGGAGCACTCATAGTGGGCAACCCAGGGACTGAGTCCTCCTAACGGGAATGGATTTTCAGGGAGGATTTAAAAAGGACATGAAGAATTTGGACTTTTAAGATAAAATTATTGTACTTATTTTTTTAAACTTTCTATTGCTAGAAGGAAAAATGTTATGAAATGACACACTTGCAGTTTGCTTTTCTCCAGGTACTCTTTTATAATTTTTAAAAGAAAAATGTAAAAATGATAAGACCACCTAGAAATTATATCAAGGAGACTTCCAGCAACTTTCCCCTTTCTTCCTCTACTATACTTGTTAATTAAACCTGGCTACAAGGTAGCCTTTATGACCTCTGAGGTAGATTACCTATGCAACCTTTAATATTCTACATGAAATAATTCCTGAAGAAATCATTTAAAAAAGGTTTGATGTTAAGAATGAGAAATTGTTACTTTATGACCAAATTTTAAAGCCGAAGTATCTCTATTAATTTTAATAGAGATAACAGAGCACAGTGTCATGGCCACCCTTTAAAGAGCTTCAGCTCTCCTAAGGAGGTAGATTACCTATGCAACCTTTAATATTCTACATGAAATAATTCCTGAAGAAATCATTTAAAAAAGGTTTGATGTTAAGAATGAGAAATTGTTACTTTATGACCAAATTTTAAAGCCGAAGTATCTCTATTAATTTTAATAGAGATAACAGAGCACAGTGTCATGGCCACCCTTTAAAGAGCTTCAGCTCTCCTAAGCTTCGTAAAACGTTTGAAGGCATATAATCCATGGCTAAGTCATTATCTTGCTGACCGTTGGTTGGTAATTGTGAGGACTAAGCAAGACTGAGGTTAGGACCAAACCACAGCTGCTGGCCCTTCTCTAGACTCCATGCCACCAAAAATCTTAATGTCTTTTAAAAGCTAATTTACATAATGCTTCCAGATCATTAAAGGCTGTCCATGGCCCTGGGACTAAGCAACCCTAAAGCTATTTTATTTTGCAGAAGGAATATAAATGAAACCAAGGCCTTACTGTATGTGGTTAAACTGGATTAAAAAGCTGCAACATCCATTTTTCCAACAAAACAAAACAAAAACCCTATTTCTGGGTGCAAAGAAAGTGGTTAATCATGCAGTGGGTGGAAAATCTGAATAGCACTGATTAGGAAATGCACATGTTTCTTCATAAGCTGCATTTCCCTTTGGAAATGACTTTTTTCTACTTTTAATAAAAATTAAGCCATAATAGTTTCATGCTGTGGGAAGGGAATGAAAGGGACCACTTTAAGAGATTATATTAATATGAATTATCGCTTCTGCTGGAAAATGTCTAATTTTGTCAATACTTTGGCAGTTATTTCTTTTTTTAAATCCATGAAATTTGAAAAAGGGGGCAGTTCTTGGCTCTGTTTACTAATTTTTGTAATGTTTTGCTGGTCTTTTTGTCTTTTCCTCTCCCATTTCTACTCTATTTTCTGTCCTTTTTTGAATATCTGTGGAAAATCCTAGCTTGTCTGCCTGAATAGGGGTCTCTGTTTGTCTTTTTACAGAAACGCACTACAATGTTGAGTATTTGGCTGGGAAAGGGGGTGCTGCAGCTTTAAGAGCATTTTTTTCAATTCATAACAGTATTTCCCATCCTCTTTTGCCTGCAGGCAGGGAAAATGTATGTACAGTATTTATTTTTGTTTCAATTTACTTTAAATTTGTAAGTTTCTATAAGTAGCTCACATTGATTATTCTAGGGGAGGACAAGTGGCTTGTTTAAATTTGTATTTGATATTCATAGTTTCCAGTTTCTGTACTTTAAAATATTGAAATTAAAAAGTTGTATTACATATGTTTTGATTTTAGCAATCTATAGTGTTTAATTTCTACAGATTTTTGTTCACTTGCTTAAAAGTGTAAATACAGAAAGTTGTACAGGATGTCTTATGATGGAAAAAATGTTTAATTCTATTTCTAGGTCTGATTTTTTTTGTGTGTGTGTGTGTGCCTATTATTAGAGTCTTGATTTTAATGAAGATGTGCCAGAGAGATTTGGGGAATGCAACATATTGTCTTGCTATTTGAATTTTTCTGTCAAAATATTCTCTGGGAGCTGGATGTATTTTGTGAGGATATATAAAGTCTTTTTTTTTTTTTTTTTTTTTTTTTTTTTTTTTTTTGACCCCCCCTTCAAAAAAAAAAAAAAAAAAAATTAGAACTTCCAGCAGTCCATCATTTACTAAATTGCAAATAACTGATCCAATTTGGAAGCATTTTAATGCTAAAAGATTTTTCCCCCCATCATGCCTTGTTTTTATATTTTTACTTTTTGGTCAATTTTGCCTTATGTTCCTGATAACTCAGGCTTTTCTAGAAGCAGCTTTTCCTGTAACTGACAAGATGTATGATTTCTGATAGAATGGGTTTCTGTCTCATTGATGCATCTTTTTTTTCTTTTCTTTATCTTTACTAACATTGTCTCATTTCCTTTTATTCTTACCTGCTTTTCTGTCTGTTGTACCTGCAACTGTAAAATGTTTTATTTTACAATCGTCATTAGTCTCCAATTTGTATTCATGTGTTGCTTGCCACTTGGAGGAAGAAGCACTGCATTTAGAATTAAATCTGGTCTACACTAGGAGTTCAGGTCGAATTTAGCTGCATAAGGTTGATTTTTTTTTTCTAAACAATGAGTCCACACTGCCAAGCCTGTTCCATCAACTTTAAGGGCCACTCAATTTGATTTTGGTACTGCTGCTTTTCATGAGGGCTGTGTCTACACTGGGCCACTTATTCAGGAAAATCAGCCGCTTTTCCGGAATAAGCTGCGAGCTGTCTACACTGGCCCTTGAATTTCCGGAAAAGCAACGCCGCTCTACTGTACAAAATCAGCCGCTATTCCGGAAAAGCTATGCTGCTCCTGCTCGGGCATAAGTCCTTATTCCGGAACACTGTTCCAGAAAAGGGCCAGTGTAGACAGCCCAGTAGTCTTTTCTGGAAAAAAGCCCCGATTGCGAAAATGACGATCGGGGCTCTTTTCCAGAAAAGCGCGTCTACATTGGCCACAGATGCTTTTCCGGAAAAGCCCTTTTTCCGGAAAAGCATCCTGCCAATGTAGACGCTCTTTTTCCGGAAATACTTATAATGAAATCTAATCTGTTTTAAGCATTTCCAGAAATTCATGCCAGTGTACACGCAGCCGAGGAGTAACATTAAATTCAACCTTGCGTTGTGGACTTCACGGTAGAGAACATGCAGTATTGCAAAAATGTGGCCTCCCAGGAAGTATCCCACAGTACCCTGCTGTGATCACTCTGGCCAGGACTTCACCTGGAAAGCAGTAGAGTTAACAGGAAAAGCCCCAGAAAACTTTGAATTTCATTTGCGATGTGGACAGTGTGGTGAGCACACCTCCGAGCAGGCAGCACACTTGAGCAGCACACCTAACTGTGAGTTCAAGTCTCATGACTTTCAGTTCCCAGGGGCACAGATGAGCACCAACATGGAGTGTGAAGGAGATCTTGGATGTTATCAAGTCATGGGTGGAGGAGTCTGTTCTCCCAGAGCTCCAAACCAGCAAACAAAATGCAGGTATCTATGTGAAGATCTCAAAGTCCATGGTGGAGAAAGGGCATGTGAGGGATGCCCAGCAGTGCTGAGTGAAAATAAAGGAGCTGAGGCAGTCCCATCAAAAGAAGAAGGCAAACGGACAGTCTGGAGTATGACTGCAAACATGCTGCTTCTACAAGCAGTTGCATTTGATCCTAGTGTGGGTCCTGAGCAGCTTTCCAAGCCAGGCCGTGAAATCCTTCCAAGACACTCTTCAGGGCAGCATCGTGGAAGACAGTGTGGTGGTGGTGGAGGGGAATGTTCAGTAGGAGAGTGCAGGGAGTCAAGAACTTTTCAGCACTTTGGAGACAATCCCCTCCTAGGAAGTCTATCAGGCACTGATGCGGGGAGGGCACTTCTGGTGAGTTAATTTTTTTTTCTTGCTACAGGCAGCTTAAGGCAATTGGGTATGATGAG